CAGAAATTTTATTCCTTGAGAATTTCATGCACGCAGTGTATTTTACTCATATTTTCACACTCAGTCCTTTCCCTGACTCTTCCCAGATCTATACCCCACTTTGATACCCCCTTTCAACTTCGTGTCTTCCCCACCCCTCTTAAAAAAATAACCCACCAAGTCCAGTTTGTGCTGTACCATCCTCTGGAACATGGCTGACTTACCGGTGGCTACATCCATAAAAACGCTGACTCTCCTGCAAGGCTGTCAGTTCTCCACGGCTCCAAATGAGGAACTCCCTCACGGCTCCCCGCCCCGAACTCCCTGCTGGAATGCTGACCGGCTTGATCTTCAGGGCAGCCAACCACAGACGCTGAGCATTCCTGAGTGCAATGGATTCTCCAGAAGTTTTGCTTCAATCTTCCCTGACCTCTGGCTCTTAAAATCTTCCTAGCCTCTCTTTAGGGGCCACCTCTGAAAAGGAAAGGCCTTTAACGTCCCAGGACCTTGCTTCTAAAGTAACAGTGCCTGCCTCATCGACTTGTCAAAAACTATGCCCGTGATCTCAGAAAGGCAGGGGTGTTCCTCCTCCTCTCCCTCTTTCCCTCCGCTCTCTCATTCTTTCTTGACAAGATCTCATTATGTCACTGTGGCTGGCCTTAAGCTCTCAGAGATGGGCCTGCCTCTGCCTCCTGACAGCTGGGATTAAAGGTGGGTGCTACCATGCCTAGATTCAATTCTATATTTTCTATTGGTTCAAAAAAGGACCCCGCACATGCCCAGAGCTCATTAAAGTCAATTAAATGAAAAGACAAGCTATAAATGAATTATGTATGAACAGGGCGTTTTACTGTTTCATCCTGGTTGAACACTGTGCTTGTATGATACTCTGTTGCCCTCATGTGGCCATTTGTAACATGGCAGACAGTAATTTCCTAATTTTGATGGAAATTTTTCAAAATTTTAGAATAGCATAGGGATAGCATAGCTAATTCGTTACATCTATCACTCAGATTTTAAAATCATGTATGTTTTTTATGTTTGCTTTGCATTTGAATTCCCAATATCACTGTAATGCATTAGCACATATCTTAAAAGTCCCTTTGAAGCTCATTTTATAGATGAGAAAATGGAGGCACAGAGAGATTCAGCAACTTGGTCAGGTTAGCATGCACTGAAATCCAAACACTTTTCTGGAACTCCTCATCCCAGGTTTTAACATGCTGCCTGTATCTTTTCCAAAATGAGTCACCAGGCACGTGCTATGTCCTATAGGAGATGTCCCAGCTCTTCCATCCCATGGTATCCTCCAGCCTCCATCAGCCCATTGGCTTTTAATGTATTCACACCTATTTTCCACATTAGGAAGTCCGTGTTCATTCATTTTCTTTTGTACTCCCTTGTCTATGTAGTCTCCACACCCCACCCCTGCAAAACCCAAGGGGTCAGCTCTTCAAGATCAGGGACCACATCTGATTTGTCTTCTTCTGCAGTCCCGACCATGGAAAGGGTGTCAGGGGGATGGAAACACTTTGTAAAAATGAATGGAAGGGCTGGGTCCTGTGGTGCCCTACAGCTTGGAGTATTAGCACTTGGAAGGTAAAAACCATATAGACTGGGTTTCAGTTAGGCCTTGTCTTAAAAACCAAAGGGCTGGGGCTTGGGATGATGGCTCAATGGTTAAGAGCATTTATTGCTCTTCCAGAGGACCTGGGTTCAAATCCTAGCATCTATGGTTCACAACCATAACCCTAGCTCCAGGGGACTCAGCACCCCTTTTGGCCTCTGGAAACACCAGGCAAGCATGTGGTACACAGACAGACACAAAATAACTAAACCTTCAAAGGGGGAGGGAGTGGAGGATGCAGTCCTGTGGTAGATTGGTTGCCTAGTTCACTCAAGGCCCTGGGTTTGATCCCTAGGATTGCAAACAGACAGATAGACAAACAACTATAAAACAAGATTAGAAGAAAGGGAGGGGAGGAAAGGAGAGAGAAGGAAGATAGAAAGGAAGGCGGGGCAAAGCCCCAAGCTCTTTAAGAGAGTGAATTAGGTCTTAGAAGGAGAGAGGATGGAGGGCAGAGAGGAATACAAGATGCAAAGAGACTTTTGGCAGGTGCCTAAGATCATGGGACATGCAGGGTGAGTCCAGGACAGGCCCCTGCTTGGCTGGGAGGTCATTGCCCTGATTAAAGTTGTTAGATTTGGCAAATAATAATAACAAAATGTTTAAAATTAATATCAGATAAGCAGGGAATGATTTTTTGAAATATAAGTATGTTATGTGTTTCATACCACAAAAATATGCTATGTACCTGAAATTCAAGTTTACTGGGCGCTGTCTTTTATGGAGCCATCCTATCCCGGCTCTTCACTTGGCGCTAAGTGTTGTGGAAGATCCTGCTGACTCTAACTCGATTTTAAAACACAGAACAGTTTGTTTTTGCTCCCGGATAAAGAAGCACAAACTCTTTATTGATCTAAAAGAAGGACAAATTTCTCAGAGACAGATGGTGGCTTGTTACAGAAGAATGGCTCTAGAGGCTTAAGAGAGGGAAAGGGGAGGTGCCAGTATATTGTCCTGACCTCATGGTAGCCTTCAAGAATCTACTCGTTCGTTCCCTGGAACTTTCCTCCCCAGGCCCAGAGGTGACCTGGAGTAGAGCCTACCTCCCTGGGTGCTGCTGCTTTACCAGCAGGAGAGAATCATTCAGCTCCGGAGGAAAAGGGAACACGGGGATGTGAGCGCCCTGATAATTTGTCCGTTCATTCTAGCTTATCAAGGGGCTGGTGGCAAGGCTTCAGAGATGATGGCATGGGGGGGTTGGCCTTGGGGCTCTACACAGAGAAGGGAGTGCCTCTCCACCCCTGCCTCTTCTGTCTTTTCTCCTTCCCTCCTCAGTTTTCTTTTTTCTCGTATATTTCTTTTTTTTTTAACCACCCCGGCCACTTGCCAACCTAATTACTCAGTATCCAAAGAGGACCCTAAAGGAAAAACTACTGCACATTCTTTATTGTTGTTGTCCTGTCTTTGCACAGCCACCTGCTCCTGTTAGACACAGAGCTAGCCAACAGCACCCAACTCAGCCTAGAGTTCATTTGTGTATTCTTCTCTGATTGGTTGGTGCAAATCCACCGTGTACCTAATCCTCCACTTATCTTCTGGTTGCTGGCTTGCTATCTCTGGTGTCCTGGGATTCGCAGTCTTGGCTCCATTCTGTGTGTCCTTGGCTGCTCAATAAAGTATCCCTAGTGATCCTTTTGGGTTGAAGTTAAACATCTGGACCATGCCTGAGCATTGCGACTGAAAAATAATGTGACTTTGAATGAATCCTGCTGCTGTTTTGATGCTCTGTTCCTATATGTTCCCATATGTTTAAGTGGGAAAGTCTTGGCCAGATTCTCATGAGAATGTTCTGTGGTAGTCTATGTACTCGTCAGACAGCCTGAGTTCAAACCCTGCTTCTACTTACCTGCAAAATGTCCTGCACCAATTACCCTTTCTTCTGAAAAAATAAGTCAAGTAAGTGTATGGACGTTAAAAAAAAATCACAATAGGACTTAGCCTACAGGTGGTCTAATGTGTTAGCGATTACTATGAAAATATTAAAGACATTTAAACTATCTCCTAAGTGTTGTTTGCACTACTATCGCACAGTTTATATGTGAGTGTAGGCTAGGAAAAAATTATTGGCTTTGACTACAGAGGTCATTTTATGAAGGAAACTCAAAAGAATGAAGCCCTAGCCTGTTGGGTCTCAGTCTTCTATAAAGACGGCTGTAAAATGTCTGGCCCATTGAAAGCCTTCAAAATGTACATGCTGGATGAATGCATGGGCCACCGGCTTATCAGTGACATGGCAAACTGCAGGGTTCTGTCTTGGGTGGCATCTGGACCAATTTGAGTCCCCTGACACCTAGTGAAATGGAGGCCCACAGAAGGCAGAGGATGAATGCTGAGCCAGGTAGCCAGGCTGGCTGTGTGTTTGGTCAGCATTCCACATCTAGATAATGGGACTCTGGGTTCAACCAGCTCGAAAGGATTGTTGCTGGAGACAGGTCAGGGAGATAAAGCAACACAGGAGATGGAAGAGGTTGAGGAACCTATCAAGTAGTCTGAGGAATTCGATGAAAAGAATATGGGTTCCCGAAGGACTCGATGGGCCCAAGCCTGTAATCCCAGCACTCTGAGAGGCAGAGGAAGGCAGATCTCTATGAGTTTGAGGCCAGCCTGGTCTACAAAGTGAGTCTAGGACAGCCAAGGCTACACAGAGAAACCTTACCTCACATAAACCAAACCAAACCAAACCAAAATAACAAACAAACAAACAAAAGAACGTGGGTTCCTGTTAAAAGTGATTTAATATAATGCACTTCGCCAAAACTGGACCTTATTTATACATGGGAAAGAAATATTTGGGAACTAAGTGACAATATTAACAGTGGTTATCTCTGAAGGACAGAAATAACTTGAAATTGAAATTTTAGAGGTGCGGGGGCGGGGTGGGGTAAGATTCTACCTTTGACACCTCCCCCAAGTTAAAGCAAAAGTTCTTATCTAGATAATGTAGGTTCTCTGTGGCTCTGGTGGATGCCATTATCGTTCACAGAAAAGAGGAGTTGAGACAGAAGTGTAACTTTAGATATTTGCAAGGACAGATCTCTATAGCAACCAGAGAATACGCCCTGAAAGGGAAGACACGAGCCTAGACCTTGAAATCTCTGTTTAAGGCTTAAGATTTCATTTGATTCCTGACTTTTTCCTAATATTGAATCACCTTCGGGAATCTTTTGTTTAATCATTTTCTAAGACTGATTCAAGATGCCCTTAATCTTCCAATCATCCTCTTGTTTCCCGGGGTCCAAGGCCAGCACCGCTCCAAGCCCTGGAACTCTCACTTTCCTCGTCCAAAGCCGCTAAAGCCCAACACACGTTAACTACAGTTCCCAGCATGCTGTGCGCGCGCCTCGAGCGCGTCGCGCGTTGTGGACGGACGCCGTAGCGCGGGGAATTTCGAGCAGAAGAGCCGCGCGGCAGGCCGGTAGCTGGCGGTCTTGTCAGTTGCGACCATGGAGGCCCTGGCCGAGCCGCAGTGGCCTCCGAGTTTGGCGGTGATGAAGGTGAGTGTCTCGGGAAGGCCGGGCGCGGACGGCGCTGATGCGAGCGGGACGGCCCTGGTCGCGCGCCCCCGGCCTGGGCCCTACCCTGGGCGGCCGCGCGACGCCGGGCCTCAGTTTCCAACCCCCGAGACCGGCCGGGAACGCGCCGCGGCCCCGCGCAGCGAGCCCAAGGTGGCTGCCCTAACGAACCGGATGTTTTGGGTGTCGGTCACAACCACTGCGTGATCAGAATAAAGTCACTGTAACGCAGCGTCAACGATGGTGACCGCTCATCCTCCGAGAACTTCCTGTGTTAACAGTGACACGACGCGTGATCTGGGTGGACGTTGCATCGGATGACGTGTTTTTATAATCGTGTAGTTTAGCAGGGGTTGGATTTATCGTGGTTTTCCATTTCTCGCTGAGGTCCAGAAGTGCGCCTCCTCCTCAGTACACTGCAATCGGTTTGCTCCCTGATGTACCCTGTCTGACCTAATAACGACACATCTCTCTTTTATTTAACTTATTGTTTGAATTAATTTATTTAGGAGACAAGGTCTTACTCTGTAACCCTTGGCTGGTCTGGATGTAAACCAGACCTGGTCAGTATGTAAACCAGGCCGGCCTCAAACTCTACCTGGTCCATCAAGCAGTTCGCTCTTCCCTGGGTCTTTTTACAAAAAACGAGAACAGTACCTAAGCCCAGCACTTAGCCTTTGATTTTAAGGAATTCTTGCACACTGAATCATCTCACTTATGTAACATTTACTGGGCTGGATTTTTTTTTTTTTTTTTCTTTTCTCTTTCTTTCGTTTTGATTTTTGTTTTTTTGAGACGGGATTTTTTTCTTGTGTGTATCCCTGTTCTGGTACTTGCTCTGTAGACCAGGCAGGCCTTCCGATTGCCTGCTTCTTCGCCCCTAGTGCTAGGATTAAAGGTGTGTGCCACCCCCTCTCATCCCCTGAATGTTTTTGTTTTGTTTTGTTTTTGTTGTTTGGTTTTTGACTAAGAATCACTGGGTAGCTTTGCGCCCTGAGTACAGGCTTTCTCCTTACCTTCCTTCCTTCCTTTCTTCCTACTTACTTTTCTTAAATCCAGTGTATCTATTACAACCTGAGCATTTCCCTATGGCAGTTGTTTGTTGTTTTTGTTGTTTGAGACAGTGTGTTGTCCTGACTATCCCAAAACTAGCTCTATAGAGCAGGCTGGAACTCACAGGGATCTGACTGCCTCTGCCATCCAAGTGCTGGGATTAAAGGCATGTGCCACCATAGTCCAGCACAAGCAGGTTTTTAATAATTATATAATATTTCATATGGATGGTTAATGACAACCTTTTTGATTGGTGTTTGTTTTTGAGACAGGCTCCGTATGTAGTACAGGTGGGCTTGGAGCTTGCTACCAAAGCTGGCTTCTAGCTTTGGATCCTCCTGCTTCTGCCTTTGAAATACTTGGATTAAAAAAGTATGCGCCACTCTAGTGGTATTTGGTTGTATTTAAATTATTTATTCTAAAAAAAAAAATTATTTTGTGCATTGCGTGCTTTGCCTGCATGTATGTATGTGTACTGCAGTGCATGTCTGGTGCCTATGGAGATCAAAAGAGAATGTTGAATCCCCTGGAACCAGAGTCATGGATGGCCGTAAGCTATGTATGGGGCCAGGCATCCAACCCATCTCCTCTGAGGTGTCTCTTTAGCTTCTACAGTTTTTAAGAAATAAATTCATATGATTCAAGAAATCTCTAAGATGAAAAAGTTCTCCTTTCAGCATGTCCCTCATTGCCCAGTTCCCTGGTCTTAGTAACTATGATTTATCATTTTATTATATCTCTTCAGAATTTTCTTCATGTACGGAATATATTTTACTTTTGCTTTTGTTATTTTGAGCAGGGTCTCACTATGTAGCTCTGTCTGTCCTGAAACTAACAATGTAGACCAGGTTGGTCTTGAACTCACAAGAGATCCTCCTGCCTCTGCCTCCCAAGTGCTGGGAAGCATATCCCTGGCCAGAGCCTACATTTTTATTCATATTGTGTGTGTATGTGTGTAGCTCAGCATGATAGCCAGAGCCACTTCCATGCTAGACCAAGACTCTGCCTTTCAGCTACCTCCTCAGCTTCTCACACTTCTGTTTCTTGAGAATAAAGCAGCTCACCTGTTCTTAAACACATTAAAAGATTTTAAGTTGCAAGAATAAATCATGCTCTGTTTAGCTTGTTGTCTAAAGTTGATACTGACTGTTGCTAGCTGTTTTGAAGGCTTTCTCATTTGGCTACACTGTGGTGTATCATGGAGAAAGTTAGGCTACCAAGAGAATGGGTATTTTAGTGTTGGCTTGACTCAAGCCCAGTATTGTGCTTACCCTGGATGTTAGCTTCCTCAAAGGTTTTAATTGGCCAGTTTATTTATTTATATTTTTGTCGTGGTAAGGTCTCATTATATAGCCTGGTCTGGTTTACACTGTTACCTCAGCCTCCAAAGTGCTGGCAGTACAGGTGTGTGTGACCATACCCTGCTAGAGACTTTAATGTTTGCCTTTATTAGTCTTTGAACTGGTTGGTTTCATGTCAGCTCACAAGCTAGAGTCATCAGAGGAAGGGAGCCTCAGCTGAGGAAATGCCTCCATGAGATGTGGCTGTAAGGCATTTCCTCAGTTAGTGATCAGTGTGGGGAGGGCGTAGCCCATTGTGGGCTTCTAATCCTGGGTTCTGTAAGAAACCTCATTGAGCAAGCCATGAGGTGAGCAAGCCAGTAGGCAGTACCCCTCCATGGCGTCTGCATTAGCTCCTGCCTCCAGGTTCCAGCCCTGCTTGAGTTCTTATCCTGACTTCCCCCAGTGATGGACTATGATGTGTAAGTGAAAGCTGAATAAACCCTTTCCTTTCTGACTTGCTCTTTGGTTATGGTGTTTTTGTTGCAGCAGAAACTTTAACTAAGACAGTCTTCAACTGGTTCTTTTTTTTTTTTCTTGGCTCTTTTTTTTTTTTTTTTTTCAAGACAGGGTTTCTCTGTGTAGCCTAGACTCACTTTGTAGACCAGGCTGGCCTTGAACTCACAGAGCTCTTTTTGCCTCTGCCTTCCCGAGTGCTGGGATCAGGGTGTGCGCCACCGCACCCAACTGGTGAGGATGTGAGGATGGGGTCTGAAGAGCAGGAATGCAGGAGCCCTTTTGTGAAGGGCTAACAGTATGTGTGGCACAGGAACCTGCGCCAACTGTCCAAAGCAACTGGGATAACCTGAAGTTTGAATTGGGGAGATTTTTTTTTCTATTTGTCATGAACCTTTGTTTATCTGTAGTTAGATTTTGAATAACTATCCCATACAAATGAATGCTATGGAATTAATTTTAGGGAATAAAGGGAAAGTTGAGTGCTAAGGGTTGATTTGCTGTTGACGTCTTGCTGATACATATGTGCTTTTGCATTTCAGACAATAGATGATTTGCTGCGCTGTGGGATTTGCTTTGAGTATTTCAACATCGCAGTGATAATCCCCCAGTGCTCTCACAACTGTAAGTACATTTTATTTTGTGTTTCTAAAAGGACAAGGTAGTTTTCATTAATGTGTAAGATTCTTTCACATGTTCATTTTCATCTTTCATTCCTTTGTCTTGCACTTTTAAGGTTTATGTCATCACCTTTTCTTGAATATGGCAATTTTTTTTTTTTTTTTTTTTTTTTTTTTACAAAGTTCTTACATTTTCTACCACCTCCCCCGTGGATATTTTTGTATGCCTTTTGTAGAATTTGTAGCAGTAAAGGTTTTGGTAACAATATATGCTTATTTGCTGAGCACTTTAACATGTTAAACTTCAAGATGTTGTTTTTAGCAGGATGATAGATAAATGGTTCAACCACTTGGTGTGGAATTTAAAATTTTAAACGTCAAAATAATAGGAATGCAGATGCTTTTCAACATGGGATTATATCCCAGTAAACTTGCCAGGAGTTGAAAATACTGTTAATTTGTCAATACACCTAGCCTATTTCCTATTGTAGCACAGTACAGGAAGAATGTGCTTACCCTCTTGACCGATGTGGCGATGGGCAACTGTGCCTACTACCTCTACCTAGCATTTCAAAAGTGTACTGCATATTGCTAGTGGAAGGTTATGGCGGAGAACAGGACAGGGAGAATTACAGGGTGAAATATAGTTTCTATTGAGGGAATACTGTTTTTCTATTCTGGTATAGTTGCAAAATTGTCAGTCAAACCATCATAACTCAAGGGCCATCTGTATTCCCTCAGAATTCTCTCACTGAAGATTACTACAGATTGTGTTATCACTTAGCAGCTGTGTGATACTGAAAAGAATTGTGCAGTGGAATTGCTTATCTTCTTTATGAGATATTTTTTAAATGCTTATTGTATAAACCTTTCATTGTTTATTTGCTTGGTGATGGGACTTCACCATGCCCTCTACACGCTCAGGCAAGTCTCTGCTACTCTCCTAGGAGTATTTGAATAGCTTAAGGTTGTAGAGGTTAGTGAACCTGTCATTTAGTTTATTGAATGTTTAGATTTATGATCTTTTTTTGTCCTCTGTTTTCAAGTTGATTTGTCTTGGAAAGTTAAAAATCAATTCAGTTCGGCTTAAAGATGTTTTTTTTTTTTTTTTGGAGAACTTTGACAAAAAGTTCTGTGAAGTCATAATAAGATGATGGCAAGTATCTGCTTTGCAGATACACCCACACTTAGCTCTGAGTGCCACTTACCAAGTAGATGAGTTTGTAATTACTATCCAACATTTCTCTAAATATTGAAGTCTGTTGAGAAATTTTTACATCAGAAGAGAAGTAAAACTGTGAAACTAAATTAAAAGCAGTAACCATTCCTATAGGTACCTGAGATCAGTAGCCATATTTAGGAGTTTGTGAGTTTAAAAAATATTGCTTGCGAGACTTCTTACTGTGTGTCTTAATTATTTTTCTCTTGCTGTGCTAAGACACCATGACCAACACAACTTAGAGAAGAGAGAGTTTATTTGGGGGTTATAGTTTTCAGAGGGTTAGAGTCCCTAACAATCATGGTGGGAAGCATGTCAACAGGCAGGTAGGCAGACATGGTGCTGGAGCAGTAGTTGAGAGGTCACATCTAGAGATTCAACCATGAGTCAGAGAGAGCTAACTGGAAATGGCATGAGTCTTTTGACACCTCAAAGTCCACCTCTGTGACACACCTTCTCCAATAAAGTCACACCTTCTTATCCTTCTCAAGCAATTCCACCAAATGATAACTAAGTGTTCAAATATATGAGTCATTGAGGCCATTCTTATTCAGAGCACCATATTCCACTCTCTGGATCCCGTAGGTTTGTGGCCATATAATAATGGAAAATGCATTTAGTCTAGCTCCAAAAGTCCTCATAGTTTTTCACAGTCTCAACACAGTTTAAAAGTTCAAAGTCTCATGGGCTACATCTGTGCAGGCATTCTAGGTTATCTCCATGCATGGTCCTTGGTTGGAGTATCAGATAGCTAGGATCAGATGGAAGGGGAGGAAGACCTCCCATATCAATGGACTTGGGGAGGGGCATGGGAGGAAAAGGAGGAGGGAGGGTGAGATTTGGAGGGGCTGAAGAACGGGGCTACAGCTGGGATACAAAGTGAATAAATTGTAATAAATTAAAAAAAAAGTTCAAAGTCTCTTGAAATTCAAGGCAGTATTTTAATTGTTACCACCTGTAAACTCAAAATCAAAAAGCAAATTACGTAATTCCAACATATAGTGGCATAGAATCTATCTTACCGTGAAGGCAAAGGGGCATAGTGAGGAAATGCGGGACTAACGCAAGACTGAAACCCTGGACAAACTCTGGATTCACAGCTCCATGTCTTCCGTCAGAGGATTTAGATGGTTCTTCCTTGCAGCTTGGCTTGCTGCAGCACTTTTTGCTCTTGGGCTAGTTCCACTCCTGTGTACAGCTCTGCTGAGCAGATATTCATGGCTCTGGTGCCTCTACCATTGTGGGGTCTACAAGACAACCGGGGCTCACTTTTTACAGCTTCATGCAGTAGCCTTTCAGGACCTTCAAGCTGGGACTCCCCTGTCGCATGCCTGGTCTCAGTGGCTTTCTTCAGCCCTGGAGGAAGATTCCACAACCACTTGTGGACCCTCATGACTTGAATGCAAGAATCACGTGGTCAACTCCCAAGTTTTCCTGCCCTCTCAGGATAGAGCCTGGCCCCTGCTTTGAATTATTTTTGTAGAAGCTTTGCATTATATTTGTTTTTAGCAGCAGAAAATTACTCAGGCATTTCCTTTTTACAAGTGTGGTAGCATGGCTGAATGTGGTCTTGCCCTGAGTGCTCCCTTTCCATTATTCCATTGTGTAACTGGTCTTTCTTCAATTTTCTCATCTCTTTCAGCATAGGCCTTGGCTCTGACATTAAATTTTCTGTTCTTTTTCTTCTTAAGCTACATTTTATATTTTTGCCCCACTTGCTTTTTTTCATCATGACCTGCATAAGAGTGGTTTCGAAGAGAACTACTTGACAGATATCTATTCTACCTAGTGTAAGGGTCCGAGAATTGCTGCATAAAGACCCCAGACTCAGATAGTATGTGAAAGCAAAGAGCGTTTATTCTGCAGAAAACCAACATGCAGGGGTGTACCAATCAGGCGACCATGAAGTGAACTCGCCTGCTCTTTTAAAGGCTTTTAGGGGAATTTCAACTGTGGCTATGTGACTTTGATTGGGATTGCCCAGTGCCCATGGAGGAATGTACTTGGACAATTTTGACTGCTCCTCACTTTGGGGAGAGAGGATTACCTTACAGGGACTTTTCTTTGTTTGATGGACTTAATTTTTGGCTAGATATTGGACAGTCGCTGATTGATTGCCAGTCTCCTGTGTTCTCTAGGAACTTGTCAAGCAGGAAAGGGGGAAGGGTGGCAAGAACTTTGGCCAGGCTTTGGGCCCAGTCTCAAAAAGGAGTTAGTTAGGTTCTCTCACTAAGAAAATGATCCATTATTTTCAGTATTGCCTCAGGCAAATTTTTAGGACAAGTGTGGAAAGTAGCCACATTCTTTGCCAAAATTTCACAAGAAGCGGTCTCAATTCCAATTACTAATATCATTCCCCTCTGAAACCTTTTGAGCTGGGCCTCTGTAGTTCCCATTGCTCTCAGCACTAATATCTTCCACACCCTTTAAACCCCCATGGCTCATCACTTCAACTACTTTCCTAGTCCAGAGTCCCAAAGCCTTTGGGAAAGGAAAGGACTGATCAAGACGTGGCAGAGCAATATTCCACTCCTGATACCCACCTTCAGATCTGCCTAGCAACTGTCAGTCACACTTCAGATGTTGTGTTTGGTACTGGCTCCCACAGGGTTCTTTTCTGGCTTCTGAGGTGCTCTCTGCTTGTGGTCTGTCCTCCCTGTGTTGTTGCCTGTCTAGATTTTTTGGGGAGGGTTAGCAGTTTAGCTTATGACCTTGCTTTTCTGGTGGATATAAGGAGAATTACTGGGTTTTCAGGTTGCTCAGCAACCAAATGGCCACTTCTAGCTTTTTTTTCAATGCCCAGAAGAACTAAACCTGTTGTCTGTCTTGTACTGGCCATAATATGTCCCTTCCTTTTCTCTCTTGGGGTACGGTTGTTGCAGCTGGAAATACTTCTTTCTGAAGAGTTGCACGGTCAAAATCATACTATTTTTGCTTCCTCAACTAAATGGATTTGGTTTTAGCAAAGCTCCTTAATTCAGCTGAATATTGGCTTTGTGTAAAGGAGCAGTGAGCAAGGTGTGGTCTATTATACCAGATAGTTTTCATTTTATGTTGCCTTGGGTATGAAAAATTTAGTAGATGCTTATTTCTTGCTTGAGTTGTAATGTAGCTGCCTTGCACTGCGTTAGCTCCTTTGAGGTTAAAAAAAAATTAGTCTTGTGTGTTATTTTGGCACCTGTCACCCAAGTGCTTGTTGAGCATGGTGGTGGACAACACAGTGTCAGGGTATAGAAATCTTCATTTGATGGCTGGGGTATGTGTTGTGTCTGTATATCCCATTTCCGAGATTCTGTTTACAAGAGGGAAACACTAGATATCTGGTATCTGGCATTTGTATAAAATAAGCGTGGGCTTCTATGTGTTTCTGTGGTTCACAAAGAGGGGGTGGTATGTGTTCATAGAGTTATGAGAGCTTAGAAAGTCATTGTTCCAGAGGCCTTGTCTTAACAGCACTTTTTAGTTATACGTATAAGTACTTGTGCAGCAAGAAGGCAGTAGAAACAAGGTTATACAGAAATGATGATGGAAGTACTTTAGTCTTAAGCCACAATTGTGTTAAAAGTCAGATTTGTGCATTACTCAATAGTTTCAATTTCCTATGTGACATCTTGTGTCTTTTTGCAGATTGTTCTCTCTGCATAAGAAAATTTTTGTCCTATAAAACTCAGTGTCCAACTTGTTGTGTGGTAAGTTTTTATTTATTTTGTTTTATTGTTTTTAATTTTGTTGTTGATTACAGCATTTTTTTTCTGTGTCCACAAAAATTCATGGGATGATATGTGGTCACTGAAGTAAACCATTTGAACATTTCCAGGAAAGATTTTTTAAGTATACATAAGACACTTGGGTTTTGTTCCACTTCCCATCAGGATTTTTGATACCCTAAATGTATTTTAGGAAGTATAAGGCTCTAATAATAGTCTTTGACTCCTATAATTTATGTTTTTATGGCTCCTAACTTTAAATTATAGTTTCTCACTTTGGATGCAAATTTTTGTAGGAAGCAAGAGATTCATAGCAACTGGGCTCATCCAGCCCTCCCTGGTGTCTTACCATTCTCTCAGACCAGCCCTTCAGAACAAACATCAACAAGTATGCTGTCCATCTCTGAGACTTTTTCTTGAGTGTGAAAACAGGTAGAGAGGGAGATAGGACAGGAAATTAACCCTGCATCTGAATAAAGAAAGAGGCATAGATCTCTTGAAAAGAATGCTGTGGGGAGCTGGAGTTCATGACCACTCTGGCCAACACAGTATATCAGGATGTCACTGAACTTGTGTAAACTTGGAGGTGTTGACCACTGTTTGCTGGACTTAGCACCAATGTATTCCAGACAACATTTGTGCTGCAGTACTGGGTGTTTCCCTTATATTTTTGAATTTCTTATTTTTAACTCTCTTTGAACACTTCATGCCTCTTCCAGTGTTTTTACTGAGAAGAGCTTCTCTCTTCTGTTTCTAAGTAATTTGGGGAAAGCTAGAGTTATGGCATTTTGAAGAAAAATTCTTGCTCATATTGAGTTTTGTCTTAGTTGGTGCAAAGTAAACAGCAGATAGTTTTAACATGCTTTTGAGAGCTGTTAGCAGGTCCTGATTCACTGGTTAAAGTTCTGTGTTACTATGAGATGAATTCACTTTATTTTGAGGTTTTCCTGGAAGACTAGTGGGACAGAGAGCCTCAGGAGGACAGGTCAGGCATTTTCAAACACAAGATTGTGACAAGTTAATTACTGTTCTTGACCTTTTCCATCTGTTGTTTTTCTTTTCTAGGCAGTAACAGAGCCAGACCTGAGAAATAATCGCCTTTTAGATGAACTGGTAAAAAGCATGAATTTTGCACGGTATGATTCACTTTTGTGATTAACCTCTAACTGCCTTTGTTCTTTATGTGTACCTCCTCCCCGTGCCCTATTCAGTTAGGGAGTTCAGGGTTATATACTAGAGCGGAAGAAGGAAGTCCATGATAGCCACTGCACACATGAAGAAGTTCTAATATGTAGTCATAAGATTTTCTCTTAACAGAAACTTTCCTCTTTTGAGGAATTAAGAGTAAAGTATAGATATATTGGCGCTTGGTTTATAGTTAGCGTTGTATTGCTGCTGGGTGTTAGCATCCTAGGCTTTTTAATGGACAGAGCTAGAGAATATATGTGTCTATACAGTTGTATATGCTAATCCTTTTGTATATGCATATTTGTAATTGTTTCTCTTTGTTATGTTTTAACCTATTCTTAACTACATTTACTAAGCATGTGCAATATGGTTTATTGTGTGAGACATACAACTGCTTGTTTGTAAAGTTCTTATATATAGCTTTGCTCTTTAGCTGTCAAATGCATGAATGTGTGAATATGAGTTTGGTTACCCAAAGGGATATAAAAAGGCGTTTTACTAAACATATCTTGCATTGTTTTAATCATGTTATTAGTTTATATGTCCATATATAGGACTTCTTCACTTGTTGGAACATTCTTGAAGATACCTTACCTTGCCTCTAAAAATGTCTTCAGACTTCTTTTAGAATTGCACATTTATTCAGAGGTTTGTAGCATAAAGGTGATCATATTCAGTACTCTGAAGTTTTCTAATGTGTCATTCCAGTAATTGACTGGTTAGTTATTTTCTTTGTGAGGCCACATAAGGATGGTATCCTTTTCTAGACTAAGAAACTATGTGTTTTTCTAATTCTTTTATTGAAGTTGTTGCTTTCTTACTGTAAAGTCTCTTGTGTATTAGAGGTTTTTTTTAAGGTATGTGTGGATGTGATATATAGCAAGTAACATACTTTTTAATGTGGGCATATACACATGTATATGGACACACTTGTGTGTGTGAGTGAGGGGGTGAAAGCCAGAGATTCGTATTGACTTTCTTTGATTATTCCTCACATTTTGGGGGAATGTTTCTCATTGAGAAATTTTAGGTTTGTGTAGGCTGACTAGATAATAAGCTTCAAGGTCTGCCTGTCTCTGCCTGGTCTGTCCTAGGGCTACAAGTGTACACTGACAGCCCCAGATTTCTCTGGGGTCCTGGGACTTGAGCTTAGGTCCTCTTGCTTCCAACGTCACTTAATGACGTGAGTCATCTCTCTGACTTTTTTTTGTTGTTCGCTTTTGCTTTTTAAGATTTGTTTTTATGTGTCCGTGTGTTTTTGAAGGTCCCTGATGGATTTGTCATTCTCCTTCTGCTTCCCTTCTTGATATTACCATTCTTAGCATCATCCTTGAGATGCTGTTTCTTGGATACTCATCATGTGCTATGCTGGGGTACTTCATCTACAAAATTAGTAGGGAAGAAATAGAAGATAATCAGTATCGTTACTTGTTTGAACCTGGTCTAAAACTGATGAGGAAAGAAGTTTAATCTTATGACTAAAATGTAAGATATTTATATTGCTTTTTGATTTTATTTGTCTTTCTCATTTGTCATTACCATTTTATATGCCATTCGGTTAAAAATTTAATATTTAAAAATTCAATATTCTAAATTGAATAACAAGATATGAGAAATAATTGAAGATGTTTCCGATATAAGGATGACATAGTTCTTTTTAACATTTTCTTTTGACCTTTGATATTTATTTTCAGAGAGCACACATTTTCTTGGCTCATTTTAATTTAAAATAATGTTCTTAGCCAGGTGTGGTGGCTTACCTTCATCCTAGCATCTGGGGAGCCAAGGCTAGAGGATCAGGAGTTTGAGGCTAGCTTTGGTTATGTAATAAGACCCAGTGTTTAAAAAAAAAAAAAAAGAAAGAAAGAAATTCTTTATCTACTGTGTTGAACATAAGCTTAGTTAGATTTTTTTTTTTTTAATGTTTTGTAAGGAGAATATCATTTCTGCCCTAAGTGGTGAAGTATTACTTATTTTTAATAGAGGCCAGTCTCATCTATGGCATTGGTTTTATAAATTATTTGGGAGTTTGGAATTTTCTTCTAGTACTCCAAATGTAAGAATATACATATTTTAGTCCCACTCCTCCCCAAGGCTGTCGATGGCTCTTAGGGGATAAGGAGTCATTTTCTTCAGTGATGTAGCCATTGATAAGCTGTCCGTGCAACAGTAAGTAACTCCAGACCTACACTCATGCAAGAAGCCCTAAATATAGTAGGTCAAGGAACGTGAAAGTAGGATGTTAGGACCAGGGTTTCTTGGGAAGAAGAAGGGTTCAGAGGAGATGGAGGGAATTATGGAGGGTAAGGAAGGTAAATACGATCAAAGTACATCTATACATGAGTGAAATTATCAAAGAATTAACAAAAACATTTAATTAAACATTTTAGATAACAATTATAGCAGATAATACTCTTAGCTTCTCACAAATAGGATGTCAGTTCCCCTGTGGTTGTGCTGTCATTTAGAGCATGCTGGCTCTCCATTCAGGTGGCACTGAGCTCCTATTTCTCTAGTTATGATTACAGTTTGAGATTTACTCTTGAGCCCTGTCTTCATCTGAAAAGGTAAATGGTACTGTTGATAGGATTGTAGATGAGAGTTATATAAAGGTTTTTGGAATAGTACTTGGTACAAAGGAATCCAAAACCAGCTTCCTATTACTGTTGTACATTTCCGCCTTCCACATTGATGCTTTGTGGTGCTATTAAGAATGTGCTATAGGGGCTCAAGAGAAGGCTCAGAGGGTAGGAGCACTTGCTGTTTTGTCAGAAGAACTGGGATTTGATTCGTAGCACCCATATGGTGGCTCACAAAGGTCTCTAACTCCATTACCGGGGAACTCTGCTCTCTTTTAGCCTTTGTAGGCACTGCATGCACCTGTTACACAGACACATGCAGGTAAAACACACAGACACATAAAATAGAGAAAAGAAAAAAAGAATGTGCTTTAGTAGCCTCTGCCTACTTCATCAGATGTTTTTAAACTGCATGTTTTAGATCAGAGCAGACATTTTCGGGGACTTCAGTGGTATAGCTATATTCATTATACGATCTTAATGACTTCCCATGCACCTAGAGACATACTGTAAGTCTTGATTCTTGGCCACATTCTAAAGAAATGAGGTTACTTGTGTAGTTAACAAGTTGGCAAGCTTTTTCTATATGAGTCAGAGTAAGAAGCCATGTGCTGGGCAGTTCGGGGGCTCTGTCAGCTGTCTGAGATCTAATCTGTATGCTTTCCTAGATGACTTGGAACAAACCAGTAGAATTTCCTGGGTCTTTATTTACCTCTCTGTACAATGAGATGTTGATTCTTCTCTGACAATCTTTCCAGATCCAAAAGTCCATAATCTGACAACAAGATCCCAGAGTGCCTGTGATGAGTGCAGTTAGGTTCTGCAGTGCCAGGTCACTGTAATAAGAAGTCATAAGGGAAATTAAGAAAAGTAGCCAGTTCCATATAAATGTAAACATCAGTTTGGAAATGAGCATTTTTGTCCAATTTATTTTAGGTTGTATGAATTTTAAAACGTTTCTGGGCTCTAGATGTCCTCTTTTTTTCATGTTTTCCAATTCTTCAGACAGGCCTTTCTTCTAGTTCCTTTCTTCATGTTCCTGTCAACAGCTTATCTCACATTTATCCTTGAGCCTCTTCAAAGAGCGTCTAAGGCTCAACATGCGCGAAGGAGACCGCTAGTGCTCTTCTCTGTCCCGTACCTGCCCTGACAGTTGCTCTGTCTCTGAACAGCAGCACCAGTATGTGTGCGTGTGTATGAATTGTGTGCTTGTTCATGTGTGTATTTGTGAGTGGGTTGGACGTGTGTGCCATGGTATGTGAATGGAGGTCAGAGGACAGCCTTCACTTAATCATTGTTGGTTTTCTACCTTGCTTGAGACAGGGTCTCTGTGGCCCTGCATAAGCAGCCTAGCTGGCCCTTGAGCTTTTGGAATTTGCCGTGGTCTGCATTTCATCTCTCAGATGGGGCACTCTGGGATTGAAGATGCTTATTCTTCTACATCTGGCTTTTACATGAGTTCTGAGGGCCCAAACTCAGGTTGTGAGGCTTGTATGGCAAGCACTTTTACAAAACAACTCTCTCCTCAGCCCCTCAATGGAACTATCCTTTTAATTACTCTAGCTAAAGACCTTGGTTTTTCCTTTTCCAGCACTAATCACTTCCCAAGCCCTTGCACTTCCCCTCCCCCTCAAATTTCCAGTTGCACAGTCAACTCTGAAATCTTTTCAAAAACTAGAGAGTAGAGTGACCCTTTTGGCTTTCCCATTTCATCCATTTTTTTTTTTTTTGTTTCTCAGATTCTTTCATTTCCACTCACAAGTTTTCAAACTGCTCAGCTATTCTCCCAACCTTTTTGAGACACAATATAGGAAGAAGGAAAGGAAGGAAGAAGGGAGGAAGAGGAGGACAAATATAGAAAATCCTCTCTGGGAGTATAGGGAGGGAGAACCCAGTGGCAGAAGCTACAATAAACTTTTTTTTCTGATGTCCTGAAACATAATATTTATCTCTTCTTCTGTTGTTTTCCCTATGGCATTAGACACCAGAGTCCCATTCTGTCAAGCCCTATGTCTGAGTGCCACTGGAAAATGGACATTTGGTTACTTTATTGGGTTCTTTTTTTCTATCACCTTTCTTCACCCTAATTCCTTCCAATCTTTCAACACTAGGTAGGAGAGAAAGAAGGATAGAGGGGAAAGGGGGCATAGATATCATCAGACTACTTCCTGCCGAATAGGAGTGTTGAGTTCTTTGGGTCAGAATTGATCTTTGCTGAAAAGATACTGAATTTCTTCTGCTTGTCTCTTTGTACATGACCTCTTGACGAACTCCAACAAACTGTAGCAACTGCAGCGGCAGGGGGAGCAGCAGCTGCATCACCTTTTAGGGCTCTGGCATTTATATACCATCTGAAGAGTCAGCAGAATTCCAAGTGTAAATTAGTTTCACTTGGCAAAATCCTGCCCCTCCTAGAGCACCAGACAAATCATAGTTTTGTCCATAGCTGCTGTGGACAATCTGAAGCAGCCCCATATCCCACAACATGTATTAAAACAAAAACATTCACATAACATTTCTGTGTTTTTAAAGAAATCAAAATTCTCACTATAGATGGTAGTAACTAAAGTGATTCTGTTAAAGCAAAAGTCAGGTCATGTGTAAAGCCATTTAGTGGCAGTTCCTTGTGTGAGGCAGTTTTACCTCAATATTATTATTGGTATAATAAAGTGGCCAAGAAGCATACCATATAAAGAGAAATGATGACTTTTCTGGAGTTTCCATACCACAGGACCATAGGAAGCCCTGTGCACTTACGCCTTTAGTGAGGATGGCACATTTTAATAAAAGTATGTTTTGGAACAAATGCTTGTATTCCAGATGAGGGACAGAGATGACAAGAAATGGGCCCACTGTCCTGTGTTACGACATGTTCCAGTGGCCTGAGACCTGCCTCTTAAATTAGATACAAAGCAACCCTTAAACCAATGCCATTTAACACTCAAGTCTTCAGGGAGTATTTAACATTCAAACTGTTATGTTTTCTGTCTCACTGGAGCAGGTGCCCAAGTCCTTTGTTATTGAGACCTCTGGTTGCTCTGCCATTTTGCTAACTCTCAGACTTCATGTTTGCCCTTTATTAAGTTCCAGGCCTTCTTGTTTGTCTGCTATGTTAATTGCTTCTGACTCCAGATATTGTGCTTGCTATTCTTTACAGGTGAACCAGTATCTTCCCAGGAGGCCGCCTGGTTTAGACTTACTTTCTCTGAACTCTGTTCTCTCTTAAGTTAGCTTCTCAGTGAGGCTTTCTGACCAGTTATTAAGAATACTTACCTCATTGTTGTTTATTATTAATATTTATTATTGGTTTATCTTTTAGTTAAACAGTAGTTATTCCTAACCCAGCTGTATACCCAAATCACCACACAGAAACTAGGATTTATTTCATTAACCTAGAGCACAATGCTGGGCAATGGTTATTCTCTCCTAAACTTCCAAGCCCACATAGTTTCCTCCCATTCTTATTTCACCCATTATACTTACTTTTAGTCATATATTAGGTTCAGTTCATCTCTCCTCATGGTTCCAAGTCCTCTCCTTCCACTCTCTTCTCCCTGACTCCTCCCACTCACTTCTTTTTTCTCCCCTCCAGACCAGAATGTCCCACCCTATTCTCCCCATTGCTCAGCATTGGCTGGTTGTTTTATTGAAATTACAGAGAACAAATGGTGACATGTTTACACATACTTGGGACAGGTGATGCTTAGAATAAACATCACAGTGCACTGTCCAGACTGAAACCAGATAGTGGGGTAGAGAAATCAGCATTTGAATGTAACAAGGGTAAAGTGTATATTTCCACAAGAACATTATATCAACATCTCATCAACATCTTATACTTGGCTGTGTTTTATTTTATTTTATTTTATTTTATTTTTTTATTTTTATTTTTTTTGTTTTTTTTCTGGTGTGGTGCTGGCACCCTGAGCCCTCCACGTGCTAGAGATTCTCAAGCTGTTTTCTTGGCTCTTTGGCCCCATTGTATCAGCACTTTTCACATAGATTGTATAAACCTGCTTTTTTCCTTTATTGTGTAACTTTCAATGAGTACAGGCTTTGCTTTTCTATTGTACTTCTATGGCAAGAGTAGATGGTACTAGAATAAGTTAATTGGTTTTAATTTTAGCTCTGAGAATAAATTTATTGTGGTCTTGCTGCTGCTGTCTGCCATAGTCTTTATTGGCATGTCTTGAAATAAAAGAGCCAATTGGAATTAAATTCACCTGACTTGTGGAGTAAAGGCAAAAAATTATCACTAGTATGTTGAAAGGATCAGTGGCATATCATCTGTGCTGTGTTCTTTGTCATTATGAGAGGAGAGCCTTTCTCAGAATCTTCTTTGTACTAAATTCAGAGACTGGAAGGAAAAGAGAGTACTAAAGATGATTTTTTAAAATTTTGTTTTCTCCTTAAGACCAAGATCCTTAGGTGTTACTTTTAATCTTCTACCTGCTTTTTCCTGCATTTACCTTCTTTTTTTTTCTTCCCTCTTTCTTTTTCCTATCTCCCTCCTCTTGCTTAATCTCCCTCCTTTCTCTTTTTTTCTTGAGTTTTGTTAGACATAACATCACTATGTAACTGAAATTGGGCTTGAATTAGAATCTTCTGCTTCAGCCTTCTGAATGTTTGAGATTACATGCCTGTGCTGCTACCCTTAGCTTAGTTTCCTTTATTTTCATATACGTGTGTGTGTATAGATATCTATATCTATATCTATATCTATCTATCTATCTATCTATCTATCTATCTATCTATCTATCTAT